AGGCGCGGCCCCCTGGCGCCCACGGGGAGCTCCGGTCCCCTCGCCTCGATCCCATCCCAAGCCCACCCCTCCCCGCACACACCCTCACACGCGCTCTCTCACAGCTTGTCGTGTTGTTTAAAACAGGTGGAAGACCTCTGTAATGATATTATGCCTTTCAATAAAAATTTTATGAGGTGTATTTGATTATAGATTAATGTGTCCCTAATAAAACGGACGAATGGAGCAGCTCGGAGGGCCCCCGCCCCCTGCACACTCACACACGCCCGAGCAGCCACACACCCTCGACGTGAGACTGGGCACACGCGGCGGCCCGGGGTGGCGGGAGGCTCAGCTCTCGGGCAGAGCCCAGCCGGCGGCGGTGGTGGCGTGTCTGCCCTTGGAAGGGCCGGTGGGCGGTCGAGTGCGCAGGGCGGGCGCAGACAGTGGCCTGGGTGCCTCTTCTTCTCCGGGCTGCTGGGGAGGCCCTGGAAGAGAACATGTCACAGAGGCGAGAACCCCAACGCTAACAGGGCCGCTACCACCCCACCCCACCCCCGCCGCCCTGCGGCCCTTCCTCGGTGAGGCCCGAGGGAGCCGCGCCTGCACCCTCAGGACCCTGCGCTCCTCACGCCCTGGAGGCCTCCAAGTGGATTCCCAAGATGTGTGAAAAATCCGAGTGGCCAGGGGCTAGGGCCACTCCCTTTCCAATTTTTTCCCTTGTCTCCAGAGGTAAGGGCTGGGCAGCCTTGAATCTGAGGGAATACCCATTGTCACTCCCAAATCCATGGTACAAAGCCTCTGGAGCCCGGCTGGGAGCCCAGACAAAAGCGGCGCGGGCGACAGCGGCGGCGGAGGGCATACTCCTCGCTCCACAAGTTGCCCAGCACCCTTGGAGGGCTCCCAGCCTACCTCCAGCCCCGGAAAGAAAGGGGGTAAATGGCTGCTTATGGCCTGATTGATTGCCTTTGCCAAAGGCTTTCTGATTTTGTTTCAGAGGGACTGCCCTTTCCTGTAGCACAGGTTTCCCTCCTTGACAAGGCCCCCTCTCAACCACTAATGGCGCTCCCCACATCGCTGGGAGAAAACAGCAAAGTTAAAATTACCCTCCTTTTTTTTTTTGCCCAACCAATGTAAGTCTAGGGCAAAATATGCCAGTGTTCACAGCCCAGCACTGATTCAGATTTCTCTCGCGCCCATCCCCAGAAAAGGACACCCCTAAAGGCTTCTGTCTTGGAATTTGGGAAGGATCCTCCCAAAGGGGAGGAAGATAAAAACTGATTAAATACTGAGTGTCCCAGACTCCCTGGATGAGGCTCTGAGGCTCAGAGAGTCTTAATGGATGATTCTTAAGGATAGACACAGGGATACTGAAAAGGACCTATTTTGTGAAACTCCTTGAAGCTACTGGAGACCCTTTGAAACTGAAGGCAGGACCTGGGGCAACGAATCCTCTGTCAGTTCCCCCACCACACACCCCCAAAGCTTCTCCTCCCTTTCCCTGGCAGCAGTAGATCAATCTGGGCTCTCTGGTGCAAATTCTGTAGAAGCTGGTGGGAATTTCCCAAACCATGGCTGTAAATGGAACATTGGACTTCATAGGAGGCCATGTGCGCTTGCGAATTCTATCTCAGTTACCTTTTTGCATTTTCTTGCCTCTCAGATGCAGCGGCCATCAGCATTTTGTAATTAAATAGTAGGTGGTTTGTCTGGGGATAATCTTTTCATTTGAAAAAAATTCGTGTGAGCCTCTAAAAGGTAATGACAACAGAAAATCCCTCCACAAGGAAACCAAGGCAAAGTAGGGTGGGAAAACTCACCTATCCTTGGTCTCGCTGGGGTCTGGCTGTCTTGCGCTTGGGATAGGGGTGGGGATGAGCAAAGGGGGAAAATTGGATCCGGTGCAATGCTACATTGCTGCTTGTCCTTGCTGCTGTAATGGAGGCCCGGCCGCTTCCAGGTGGGCAAGACTAGTTTCAACCTAGCCCCTGACGATGGCTCCCCAGCCAGAAGTCATCAAGATCTCACTGAAAGCATTAAAAATAACATAACTAAAACCAAAGAGAAGAAAACACACATATGGGGTGCTGAGAGGAGAAAGTGGCTTTGGGTACAGGCTTACTTACCAGGCTCCAGCTAGAGAGAGGCTCGCACCCATTGAGGGTACAAATATGTCACTGTGACTGGGGCTGAAAGAGGAGAAAGGACTCCCCTCTAACCAGCTATGACAACTGCACACCCAAGCTGGATTATCACCCCTCTCCCTCAACTCCTGCCAAATTCCAGCATCATTCTAGGCCTCCTCCAGCTTTTCTCTCCATCACCCTTTTTTTGCCTTCTATCAATCCCCAACCCGACTGCCCCAAACTGGCAGTTTAACCAGAAGAGAACCTGCTCAAGGGCTTTCATTTCCACTGTAACATATTTCCGTTTTAGAAAGCAGAGGGAGCGAACTCATTTCCAGAGTTTATTGCATTATACATGCGACCAGAACATGCACAGAAAGGACAGGTTGCTGTTGTACTTCTACCAAACCACAGATGCACCACAAGGGAAAGGCTACAAGGCATAAGTCGTCAATATTCCATCTCACCAAGAACAATTGCTAAGTTCATTTGTGAAAAGATACATTGTAATGTGCTTTTTTCGTCCCCCTCCCCCCCAAAGCTTGTGGGTTTTCTTAAATATAGATGTGTGTAATTTAAAAGTACTGGATGTATTCAAAATGCCATGAGTTCGTGGACTAACCACACACAGAGAACTTTTGCGTAGGGAAAACATGAAAACGTCACATTGCTGGAAGTATGGATGGATGGTTAGATGGATGCTCTACATTTCCAATAAGTTAAGACCCAAATGAATATGCGCAGTAATAGTTACCCTGCATTACGATGAAAAAATAATAAATTACACGTGCTAAGTTTTTTTAATATATATATATACTCATAGCGATTACAGATCACTTGCAGCACGAACAGAATAACCCCAAAGTCACATTCTAACAGGAAAACAAAACAAAACAAAACAAAAAACAAAGAGCAATGAAGGTTTTGTTTCCGCCTTCCCAGTCCTCCAGCACTGGGCCCTGGAACGCGGTGTCCCCTCTCTGATCCTGGCCTCCCACCGGCCTCCGACCTAAGAAAAGGTGAGGTTGGCGGTCAGTTCTCGGATTCGGTTCTCTCGGCTCATCTTCTTGAGTTTCATTCGGCGGTTTTGAAACCAAATCTTGACCTGCCTGTCGGTGAGGTTAACGCTCTTACTGATCTCTAGGCGGCGCTCGCGGGTGAGGTACATATTGAACAAGAACTCTTTCTCTAATTCCAGCGTTTGGTGCTTAGTGTAAGGGCACCTCTTCTTTCTCCCACTCTTTGCAGTGAGCCAATTGCTGGTTGGAGTATCAGACTTGATTTCCTCTAACAAAATTAAAGGAAGAAGAAACAAATCAAGATCTCTTTTTTTTCCTCTCAGTTTGTTCAAATATACCCTTGGCCATGACCCTAGTGGCACGCAGGCCGCTTTGGGCAATGCTGGTATTAAACATTACAGAGGTGGGCCCTGAAGTGCTTTTCAATTGATGCCAAATTAGAAATGCCCAAATTGACACAATGGGAGGATGCACTCATGGGGGTCTTTCTCTCTCCCTCTTTCTCTCTCTCTCTCTCCCTCCCTCTCTCTCTCTCAAACACACACACACACACACACACACACAGAACTTTCTGACTTGCACAAAACATAAGTATAATGGTAAACTTTCTAGGATCTCCCCAGCAGCCTTCTAAGTCATCAGCTTATGACAGGGTGGGAGTGAATGAAGCCACAGCCTGGACAAGCCTACCAACCCCATTGCAGCTCAGGTCCCCAAGTCTGCTGCTTCTCCCTCCCCACTGCTAGGCAAGCAGGGAGCGTAACAGCCACGTTTGCGGGTATATTAGCTATTCTTTCTCAAAAAATAAATGAGGAAGCAAGGATATCTTTTCCACCCTGCCTGGGCATTGTTGCATTCCACCAGAATTTCCTAAATTCTCACGTCTGCCTTCTGTGTCCACACAAAAGCATTTCCCAGCACTGTAACCCCTAAGGTGGTCCACTTCTGGGCATGGGGGAGAGGCTCAGGGGACAGGGTCCCTTCTCAAAAACCCAAATCCCTGGCTCTTTGCCTCAGTCCATCCCTAAGGCTGGCCTTGCAAAGTGGGCTATGCAGTTGCAGCCCCCCTCCTCTGCCCTTGCCTTCTTTGTAGGTGATTGCAAAGCCTGCGGCACTTTCCCCAGACAAAGCCAAGGTTACCAAGCCCTGCAAAGGCAGGAAGACCTTCTCCCCCCATCCAAGTGCCAACTGGCCTAACCATCTCATTCCCCACGCTCGCAGGATGCGGGGTGCATACACTTGGACACAAACACGGTGCCTTGGACTGCCTTAAAATGATCACCAGGTGCCAGCCAAAACTAAGACTGCAAATCTGACCAAGGAGAAAGGAGGCTCTGGGGCCCTGTTTATGTGCCGCGGGTCTCTTTTGCCTCTTTTGTTGCATTTCAGGTCTAGTTTGGGAAAAACAAAACCGGCAAGCCTTTCCTCTTCCCCAGGCGCCATCAGCATGGGGCCCGGGAGGGCTAGGCAGCGGGAGAGAAGCCGGGACCATCTCAAGACTGAGATCTCCCCTCAAAAAGCCGGGCAAAGCACCACCTGCCAAGCCGGGCACCCGTCTCAGCTGCCTGGGCTCTGTGCTGGGCACCCAAGCGCTCCCTCTCCGCCGGTTCCCGGACTGCGCGCCCCGCTGGGGTGGCAACTCTGCTCATACCGACCTTTGCTTTCCTTCTCCTGCACTTCAGGACTGGATACGGAGACCTCAGCCAGGCAACTCCTCTCTTCAGAAAGGCCGCCTTTGGCCTCGGGGCTCTCCACCTGGGAGACTTTGGTGGGCTCCTGGCCGCTGGCGGTCTCGTTCATCTTCTTTTCCATCTGCAGCTGGGCAGCCGAGAGCTGTGGCTTGGCCGCGCCACGAGGGTTGAGCTGGAGCATGACAGTGGAGCTGCCTTCGGGGCTGTTATTGTACTCTTGGGTTTTCCCGGTGGCGTAGGTCTGACTCAGTCTAAAATATCCAGGGACAGGAACCTCGGGGTTCTCAACGGGACAGGACTCGGGGACCAGCCTCTGGTACGAAGGGACCTCGGCAGAAATGAGTTTGTTGCGCTTATCAGAATACATGCAGCAATTGGATTCTTCTTTAATGTTGGTGGTGAAGGAGCAAGTGGGGACTTGCTGTGTAACAGGTTGCTCTATTCGACAAGATCTGTTCGGGTCTGTCCAACTGTCTACTTGAGGTATATAAGGATGCACATTCATACCCATATTTTGGTGGTTCACTTCTCTTTTGGCCAGAGACGGGAGCAGTCCACAGGTTTGCATTCCATAGGTCCCCATGTCTGCGCTAGGTGGTGGCATGTACATGCTGGCGCTGCTCGAATAAAAACTGTCACTCCTGCAGGCACTGATCAAGGAATCTACTAAAAAAGTATTAGCAGCAGGAGAGCTGTTGGGAAAGGACATTTTGGGGAGGAATTTGAAGAAGAGAGATTGTGTCCTTTGTAGGCTGACATCTCTAGGAAAACATTCCCCGTGTAATTGTGGATGCCTCTGCCGACCACATGACAACCAAGCCAATGAGATTTGAAAATGGCCTTGAGCCGCAGCCTCCTCGCAGGTCACGTGCTTCAGAGCCCGGCCGGCCGGCCGCGTAAGCACGGACAACAGCGACATCTACTACGCGCCGGTGATAGTGCGCGCTGGAGACAACCGGCCCAGAGCTCTCCACCGCGCGCCCGCCCGCCCGCCTCCGCGGGGCTCTCTCGGCCTGCCTGCCCCACTCGCGCCCCCCGCCCTAGCAATCGGGCCCCGCCGGCGGAAGGAAAGGCTTGGTCGGAGGGGCGTCCGGGAGGACACGCGCAGGGAGGAAAGCCAGAGCGCCGCGGCGCCAGCACACACAGAAGCATTTCCCTGCACACGCCCAGGCAGAACGCGCGCAAGAGGGCCGGGTCCGGGGCAGGGAATGGGGGCGCGGGCTGGTGATTTTAGTACTGGGAAGCCGGGGAAGGTGAGTCGGATTCCCCTGGTCCCGAGACATCCCACGCTAGGGGTCCAAAGGGAAGAACCTTCGCGCAAAGACGCAGCCAGGGTGTCCTAGGAAGCAGCGGTGTGAAGGGCCGCGAGGGCCGAGAGGCCACCAGCTGGCCGGCCCCGCTGCCCAGAGGTTGGGCCGGCCCAGCGGTCTCCTTTTCCAGCCCTGCCGCAGCTACTCCGAGCCCCTCTGCGTCCCCGCGAGCTACACGAGCTCCCGGCTCTCAGAGGAACCACACCCTGACCTTTGCGGGCCGGGCTGGGTGCTGGGCGCTTTCAGCCGCGAGACAACCCTTCGCCAGCAATTCCCTATCCGCGAGAGCGTCCCCGAGACTCCCCGCGGGAGGACTAAGCCAAAATTTCCTTCCCCACCCCTGATGGCAGAGGGCAGAGAGGAAGCAAGGGAGAAAGAAAATTTTTGAAAGCAGAGAGGAAAACTGATCCTCAGACTCCAGAAGTTTTAGGAAAGTGACTGGGCCAGGCAGGAGGGAGAGGAATGCAAAGGTGTCATTTGGTTCTTCGAGGAAGAAAAATATGTTTTCCTTTTATGGATTTTGTAAAAGCATTGGTTTCTGACAAGTGCAAGGTACAAAAGGTTGTGGAATTTATTAATACATATTAAGAAGAATCAGGGCGATCAATAAAATTCTCATCTACATTCTTAGGCTACTTGGTAATTTTCTTGCTTCTGAAGGTTTTTAAAGAGTTATACCCGCTGTTGCCACACACGGGAAGATATTTTATTAACAAATCAATCGAGACTTTGTAAAGGATAAGATTAATAGTTAAGATTTAGCATAATGGCGTTCGCTTTATGAATTATTGAAAATTATACTATTGATTTTTTTCCCATCGCTACTAACCAAGAAGGTCAATTTTTGTTTTAACACAAATCGTCAAATATTAAAAGCAATACTTTTGTCAGAACTTGAGTTTTATAGTTTTGAACAATCCTTAAAATTATTTGATAAGGATTTGCTTGGGTAAGAGGAGAAGGAGACGGAGGACTCTTAGTCCTGTGTTTGTTCTGATGAGGAAAAGTTCCGTAAAGATTAAGATACGGTGTGGGGTTGTGGTCCAGCTCATTAAAGAACCACCACCACCACCACCACCATGGAAACTGTTTTATGAGAAACTTGAACAACTTCCTCCCTCCTCCTCTGGTTGCAGGCGGTGAGCCGTCCTGCGGAAGCCCCGGCCTCTGGACAGCAGCGGGGAGCTTTAACCTTGATTTCCAAAGTCTTGCCCAGGGCAAGGGGCCCTGCCAGTTCGAGGGAGCCGTCCTTCGGCCTTCCGGGTACCCTTCCCGGCAGCCAAGAAAGTAAAACGGCCCCGGAAACTGACCATGAACCAGTTCTCAGAACAGGAAGGCATCTGTGCTTTCTTCTCCCCATGCTCACCCAGGAATGGGCTGGCCTTGGATTTCAGGCCCAGAGACTGAACTTGTGGGTAAATCGGGTTTCCGCCTCAGCAGAACATTTCTTTGGGGTCCAACGCTCATTAAAGCGCTTCAGCGTTCTCGGGGAACCTAACTGCCTGCCTGCTCCTTCACAAAAAACATTTCCCAACAAATCCTTTGTGCCCACTGCCCAGAAAGAATTTCTCCTGGCCTGGTGAAAACAGGCACTGAACATTATTTTCAGCCTTGGGACCGATTCGCTTGTCTCCTCTCAGGGCCCTCGCCCAAACAATAACCCCTTTTTAAAAACTCCGCGGTGGCAATGAGACAGACCTTTTAAACCTTTACGCAGCTGTTCAAATACAACATCATTGTCAGGTTAAAAGCCTGGCGCCTCTAACTGCTCAGGCTGTAGCACCCCGGCTTAGCTGGAGGTTTAAACATTACCTTTCCACAGGGGTGGCTGTTTTTGGGCTTGAGGGTGGGGGTTGAGGAAGGCAGGAAAACACACACACACACACACACACACACACACATGCACACACGCACACTTTTTTGACTCTAGGTTGCTAAGATCCCGTTCAAAGCCAGCAGCACTAATCAGTGCCCCAAAATTTCTTTTCTTGAACTGTGCAGATCTTGTTTTGAGCCACAGATAATCATGCCCACGGCTCGACAGAGTGCCCGCTGCACTCACTAGCGGCAAGAGCCCTGACGACGCCAGCCTGGTGCTCTAGCATTTGTGTCTCTTTACATCTCGGCCAGGAGAGCTGCCTAGATTTCGGTTGCCCACTTTTCCCTATCTCCAGTGAAGCAAGACTGTTCAATCTAATCAGGAATTTTATGCCCATCAAATGCCCTTTCATAATCTTTATTTATACATGAAGAAAACATCCAGGCTAAAAACAAGCAATTCCTTCTGGAGCGGGTAGGTCTTCAGTGAGCAAGGCAGACAGGATCTGCCTTCTGTATTTGGGGGCCTTTCTATCTCAGCTCCCTACGACTTCGAGCTCAGTCACCCTACACTGGATTAGGTTTTAAACAGATCTTCATTCACAGGGGCTTAGCAGCTATAATTTCGAATTGATTCGTGCAAAATTCTTGTTTTTGTCTTTCAAATTTTGGCTTTCAGATCGGTTCCTCCGGGCCAGAGATGGTAATTTTTAAAGAGATTTTTGCTATTAGAAATCAAGCAAAACAGAAATAATTTAAGAGAATGAGCTGGATGAAGGAGGATGGAAAGTGTGCCTCAAGAGCTGAAAACGGAGATAATGCGAACAGAATCAAAAGACAGTGGCTTTAAAGGCCAACCCTTATTTTGCTTACAGTATTTAACATAGTAGCTGTTTTCGATCATCTTTAGATCAGTTGCAACAGTTACCATTAATAATAAATCAATATTGCACCATAAAGGAGATGAATAACCACATTTGTACCAAGACCACTTTCTCCCTGGCATGGTTCTTTCCAGAGAAAAATTAAAAGTGTCACCTAAGCAAGACATTAGCCTTTGTAATCAAAAAGTAGCTTGCATCTACTCTCTTCTGTCTCCAGGAAGACCAGAGGCCCTGGGCCTGAGAAGACCTGGGGGCTCCTAGGGTCGCCCTGAATTGGAGTCCTGACGTGACTCTGTACTGTGTCACTTTTCGGAACAAATGAAAAGCTGCCTCCCCAGGGCGCCCCTCTGGGTTGCACTATGTAGCACCCGGCCAAGGTGAAAAGATGTGAAGGGAGCAAATGGGGGGAGGGTGCTACCACCAAGGCGATCAGGGGTCTACGGAGCGGTGCAGAAGGGAGCGGTGCAGAAGGGCCAGCCGCTAAGAACCTTTTTCCGTACAGACACAAAAGACTCCCACTTCGGCATTTTCCTCCACGTCAGAATCTGAGATCTTGGCGCCTCGGGATCCATGGCCACCCTCCTCGAGCCCCGCGCTCTAGACAGTGGACGAGGGCTGGGTCTTTAGCCTCGCGAGGTCCCGTTCGATTCCCCGGTCCTTATCAGGCCCTCGTTGGGCGTTGCCGGAGAAAAGGAGCTGTAGACCGCTGAGAAGACAGAGTCCAAGGCGCTGCCAGCCAAGGCCAAGGGGCCCCGTGCGCGGCTGGGGCCGCCACCGGAGCAACACAACGACATCTGGGGAGGGGGTTCTCACCCCAAGGAGACGGAAGCCCTGCTTAGGCCCCAGGAAAGGTCGCTTCGCAATAGCTAAACTGGACCCGCGGCCAGACAGGCGGAGCCCAGGATGCCCGCGGGGAACACCCACGACTCTCGCTGGCGCCTTGCCGGGGAGTCCAGGCGCCCCAGCCTCTCGGGAAGCCAACCCAACTCCTGGAGGCAGCCAGTGGACAGGCGCCCCAGCTTTAGAGCAAGGGCTTGCAAGGCGGGAGAGAGACTGAGAGGCCAAGGAGGCCAGCGCTAATTCTGCGGGCTACAGCTCTTCACAATGAACTTCAGAGAAAAGGGCGCAGCCATCCTCCCTTAAGCGGCTCCTGCCCCGGAGCCCGGTCCTCTTTCTCCCTTTTGGACCTCAGACCAAGACAGGGACAAGGGCATGTCCTAATGTCAGGGGCTTTGCTGGGGCACAGAGGGCACTCGGCGAATTAAATGCTTCTGATGGTCAGTGCCAAAATCAAGCTCTGGACCTCAGGGTCAGCAGACAGCTTGGAAGGGCAGCTTGGGTTGTCAACCCCACTCAACACCCGTTTGCTTCAAACACATCCCCGTTCCACAATGCCTTGGAGTACAGACGGCTCCCCAAAAGAGCCCGCTAGCTGCCTCCACTGCAGCAGCCCGGCCCTCAGCAGGCACCCCAACTCTTCACCTTCCCGCTCCTCAGGTGACCAGGGATAGCACCACTCCAACATCCCTGGGCCCCCCACTCAGAACCACAATGTCGCTCACAGATGCATCTCATTTTTTCCTAAATACACAACTCAGCTAAACTGCCAACACCCTAATCTGTTTTAAACAAAGCCTTTTAATCATCCCAGTGGGCTGAGAGCTCACAAGACGCATGCGATTTTTGGAAGGTGGGGAGGAGGAATTCTACTCAGGATATCGCTTTCATTGCTTTCCATACTCAAATCAAGAAGAACCATGATTTCCCCTAATCCAGTAAACCCACAATAGTTCTGGCATATTTCAAGATACACAGGTTTGTCCTTTAAAACTCTCTCCTTGTCCACCATAAGTTTATATATCAGGGTATTGTTTGCAACAGCTTTATCTTCACTGAGACAACGACTAGGCCATCTTTTGTTTCAGAATCTGGCTGCCCTCCTCTTCTCTGTCTCTATACCAAGTCCTACACCTTTTGGCTTCCTATTAGATCAAACAAACAGCAAACACCTTCGCTGCCGCCTGTTTCTAACGGGCCAAGATTGCCTATTAGAATCTAGTACTGTATTGGAAAGATAAGGTACCGCAGCCTCTCGGCCAAACGCGGCTTCTGGAACGTGAGCGCGCCCTCGTGTGGCTCTCTAAGCTCCTGCAAATGAGAAAAGGTATCTGGGTTTAACTTGCCACTGGCGGCTGGTAGATAAGCCTGCTACATTTAGACGCAGTTTAAAAAAAAAAAAAAAGATGGAGAAAGAATGAAATAGACCAGCTTTCAACTCCTAGAAAGAACGTACTAGGGCATTGACACGTTAACTGATGCCCAGAATTCCAAACAAAGGAATACCCTTCTGAACGAAATAATTTGATTGTCCGTTTTTTGTTTCTATTGCATCTTTCACCAAACGTTGAAGGATGCTTCAAAAATATATAAATATATTTTCTTTTGTTCCATATCTTAGAAAGTGCCAAAATTTATTTGGTGGGTTGGCAAACTGTTTTCAAATATAACAAAGGTATAAGCCTCAACAGAACTTACTTTTTTCAAACGTCTGCTTTTAAAACTGCAGTTCTTCACTAACAGCAAAAGGGACCACTTCCCAGGATGTCCCCAAGCATCTACACCACCACAACCTAGCTGTAGTGAAAACTAACAGGTATTTTAATCTAACCAACATTTAAGAAGAGAAGCCTATGGCTACTGAGTTACTCAAATATTTGAAGGGAAATTAAGGTTATTGATCCTGAAATTAGGAACTTTCTTAGATTTATGGCAGGCTCCCAATATGATCCTGTGTGGTCATAAATGTGTGCATGGTCTGGATGTGTAAGCATGTATGCATGAGAGTGGGTGGCGGTGGAAAATCACAGAAGAACCTTAAGGCGCCTAATTATTCAGAGAGGTTAAAGGTGATGACCTTGACATTTTGGAAGTTCAAAGGCATACACTTATGCACTTATGTTTTTCCTTTCCCCCCAAAGCCTTAGCAATTTAAAAAATATAGAATTTCAAAACGCATACTTCCTCTAAAGATGCATAAACTGCTATGCACCTCACAGATTTATATTTTGACTTTGGGTTTATAAGAGGCTAAGAATCGTAAGATTCACTTCATTCTCTTCAGAGAAAGAGAAGCTTTTCTCACTCCTCTAGTTTATTGCACACTGCGGAAATCTCTTTTGGGCCCACCAGAAGGTGTATAATATAACCCAATTAAGCTGTTTAGAACTTTGGCTTTTATGGTGTTGTCTAGACAGTTCAAGGTTTTGTAAACAGCCTGGCCTGGCCCTGCAACATAAAGTGCAGTGCAGCCCTCACCACATTCTTTACCTTAAAGCGATAAATGTGGGGAGAAGCAGGTCTGCAGCCCTGGCCCTCGTCCAGGGAAGGGGCTTTCCATTCCCTGCCAGGCCTGCTCCGAAACCAGCCAGGACCCCAAGCCCTCTCCACGCACTAACTTCCTTCTAGCCAACTCCCACCATTCCCAGTGGAGGATTCTAATTTTGGTTTCTTTCAAGGAACCCTGGTGCCTTGTCACTGTTAGGATGTACTTTGCATTTTCTAGCCAATTTTTAAAAAAACTGTTTTGTCATTTTAGAAATCCAGTTCACCAGACTAGGAGAGGAGGTTCAGATTTGCGTCTTAGCTTCCTACTGCCACAGCCTCATTGCCTGGAGAAGGTAGCACCAGCATGGCTGGCTCACATCATCGATTCAGAAATTTATCACTGACGTGATTTTTAAAAAACCAGTGTAGCCTAGAGGGGATTTGAGGAAACAGCTCCTTACTTTAGCAAAATTAAAAAGTATTTTCTGGATTTTCAGTTGCTCGGGAGAGAGCGTTCTAGCCACTAAGATATCCTAATCAGGCACTAGCTTCTTCACAGAGGAAAGTTCATACAGTGTATTGAAGCTGTAACCTCCATTTTACTAGAAACCATTTATTCACACACAAAATAGACAGTGACTCGTGCCTTGATATGACAGACCAAAGGTACATTTCCCAGAGTTTAAATAATCTGCGTTCACCGAAGGGGAAGGAAAGGTTCTCTTAGGCTCAGAACAAAACACCAGCGCCTTCTAGCCCGTGGCCTAGCTCCCTAAGGATCTGCCGGGTCCCCACGAGGACTCGGAGAAGGGGAGAGGGAACAACAGCATATTGGCGGTAAAACTGTAAAGGGACGTTTGCATTTACCATTTTCCCCTTATTAGGATCCGCTCGGCCAAGTCCCCGGCCTCGTCCGCAGGCTGCAGTGGTCGCTGGGAGGTCCCGAGTTGACCGTGAGAAGGAATCGTGAAGTTCCACAGAGAAGAGGCGTCATTAAACCCAAAGACATTGGGCCTGCGGAGGGCAGGCTGGTGGGGAGGAGGGTGGGTGAGTGGGGCTCGGGGGAGGGGGCGCTTCCTGGATCTCTCAAAATAAGGGGTTTCCAGTGAAATACTGCAGACGGTCTCTGTTCAGTTTCTTTTCTTTCATCCTGCGATTCTGGAACCAGATTTTGACTTGCCGGTCAGTGAGGTTGAGCATCCGAGAGAGTTGGAGTCTCTTCTCTTTGTTTATGTATACATTAAAGAAAAACTCCCGTTCCAGTTCTCGGATCTGGTACTTGGTGTAGGGACAGCGCTTTTTCCGGGACCTCTGGGGGGCCACTGCAAGCCAAAGAGACCAGAAGTGAGTGAGGCCGCTGCCTGCTACCCACCCCCCACCCGCCGGGGCCACTGAGCCAGGGCCAGGCCTGGCCCCGTTAGGGACGTCCCCTGCCTCCTCTGAAAGGCCCTGCCTGCGTCGTGGGGGATGATATATGGGCGGGCACAGGAGAGTGCAGGCGTGGACGTGTGCTCACGCCCAGGGACACACACACACACACACACACACACACACACCCTGGCACGGACATTGGGAAGAGAAGGGCAAGCCAGGCTCTAAACTGAAAGCCAGAGGGAGAGGGGGAGAAAGGAGAGCGCCCGCCGCTGGGGCATCTGCTCAACTCCAGTGGCGCGCGTCAGCCAGCGGCTTGGATAAAGTCCAGTGCGGGGATCACCCACCCCCTCCCTTAAAAGCCTGGGGCTCGCGTGTCCACAGCCACCAACTGGCTGCAACTCTCCTTCCCTCCCTCCGTAGCTTCTGCACCCCCTCTCCAAAACAGTGGGGAAAGCGCTCTGCAGCGATTAATGTCCTCCTCGAAGTCTACCTTAAGCCCACCTAAATTGGTTTCCTATCATAAACACGCTTTACAACGACCCGGGAAATCTTATAGGATGTATAAACCCCTTCGAATGCTTATAAAGTAGCACATAAAACGGCGCAAGCCGAGGGAAGCCCCCGCCCCCCGCGCGCCCCCGGCCCTCCGCGCGCCCCGCGCCCCAC